ATTAAGAAAAGAATTAAAAGACTTTCGTGCATACTGCAGACTTTTTTCTGTCCCCATGTTGATCATGCCGGTTGATACTTTATGTGTGCACTTCCTTTAACAGGGTGACAACCTGCATTGAAATGGCACAGCCGTGTTGTCACCCTGGTAGACTTAGATAGACATGTAGTTTTAACTCTTGGTAGCCTCAGGCTCCCCTAGAGCCACCTTATTGATACCGAACTTAGTGTGGACACCCGATCAACATAGCTCAGGGTAGACTAGAACTCCTAGACTCAAGTGATCCAACAGCCTCAACCTCTCAAGTAGCTTGGATTACAGATAAACACCACTGTGCCCGGTGACTTTAACATTTTTGAGTAGAACTCTAAAGAAACGCTTTGTTGAGGACCTTCTACCTCTAGCCTGGTTGGGTCTACATCTACAGATCTTTCTCACTGCACCTTTTTTGAAATACCATTTATATACCCACCATTAAAAATCTGTACCTCTGAGAAGCAAACATTGCTAATTGGCTGCACAACTCAGCAACAAGCAAACAAACAAGTGCCACCTATGGGTTTGTGTCATTGGTGGACGGGGTCCAGCTCGTTGGAGCTTACAACTATGACCAAGAGTGGGCAAACCCCCCGAGGCAGGGAGCCATGGTGCGCAACATTTGTGGCTATTTTTAAAGACGGTCGGCGAGGCTTTCTCTACCTGCCGGGACAGTTTGACCGAGTCCAAAAAGTTTCATTATCCCGTCAACTCCATATCCGCCGACTCTGGCGGCCCTCACCTGTCAAGTAGATTTTATCCAGCGTCACTTTCCTGGCACGTATAAACCTCCCAACTTGCTCCAGGTCACTCTGCCGAATGTGATCCAAGAAGACGACATCGTTGGGAAAATGCACCGAACGCGTCGACCTCAGGCTCCGCGACCGGTGGGAAGGGTAATACTTCATCTTGAGGATGCCGTGATCGGGGGTGGCGGAAGGTGAGCTTAGCGCCAGCGCTGTCCGATGGATTGTCCCAGCAAAGGGCAGAATGGGGGTTCAGGTTCTTCTACCACCAGCCGTGGCAAATCTTTCGGACGGTTTTTGTTTGTGTTTTTTTTTAAGGTCCCTCGCCCTGAGATGCAGATCCGAAAGGCTGCTGACCAATTCCACACGAGCAGAAGCGGCGCACAAAACCCCCCTTTTTATAGCTCTGCCTTCCTATCTATTTAAGGGACGCTCATCTCATCTCACTGTAAGGCAAGCGACCGAGGCAGACGCCCACTGCTGTCCATGGAAAGGCTCATCTTACCAGGTCAACTGATCGAGAGAGCAGCTGCTACTCAGAGCTTTGCAGGGTCACAAGCAAGGAACACAAATTGGCTGCAATTCGGGGTGGGGAAAGAACGCCCGCCATGGCGATCCCTGACAAGCCCCGCAGACGTGATCAGACAGCTATCTGTCCACACACACACACACAGAAGGAGGAAGCAAGGGCTTGACTCGTTAAATAGGGGTCAGTCGCGCTGGGTCAATGTGTCTAGCCATGTCACCCCCCCGAGCTGGATGGTTTAATTGCAAGGTAAATTAAGAAAAGAATTAAAAGACTTTCGTGCATACTGCAGACTTTTTTCTGTCCCCATGTTGATCATGCCGGTTGATACTTTATGTGTGCACTTCCTTTAACAGGGTGACAACCTGCATTGAAATGGCACAGCCGTGTTGTCACCCTGGTAGACTTAGATAGACATGTAGTTTTAACTCTTTTGCTGCCAAGGCTTACGTCGGTGGCAGTACGGGTTTTTTTTTTAACACACTAGAGCAGCTGGGACTGTGTTCAGCCCCCACAGCGGCCTGACACCTCTGCCTTGTATCCCGGGCTCCGTTGCTTCTCCTGTGGGCTCAGGACACCCATGGCAGGTATCGGTGGCAAAATGGGAGGGAGACCAGCGAACATGCATTTGCTTATCTCCTCTACTGTGAATGAGGGGACTACAAATTCGTCACTTCCGGGTTCAGAGCTGCCACTCCCTGGCCACCAAGAGGAAGAAGGAGATCAAGCATGATGTGTGCTTGATCTGCTTTCATGGAGTATAAAGGTGACATTAGGGGTCTAATAGACCCCTAATGTCTCATCCAAGAGAACCTGTCACCTATAATGTGCTCTATAATGTTGGTGTTAGCCCCCTATGTGATAGCAATAAAGTTTAAGTGACATTAAACCCTCAGATTTTTTTACATAAACCAATACTGTAATGTGTGCCTTACTGTAATCCATGGTTGTTTCCCTTCTCTTTGCTGCTCTTCCTTTTAAATCCTCATGTCTTCTCATGCTTGGGGAGAACTTCCCTTTGTAGCTGAGTGCCTCTTCCTGTAGTGCTGGCTCAGGTTGCAAACCTACACACAGACACCATGTATCCATTCCAGAGACAAGGCAGTCTGCTGCAAAACAGAAGTTATGTCCAGCATGGGAAGAGATACAGATTTAAAAGGAAGAGCAGCAAAGAGAAGGGAAACAACCATGGATTACAGTAAGGCGCACATTACAGTATTGGTTTATGTTAAAAAATCTGAGGGTTTAATTTCACTTTAAGTTAAAATTACATATGAAAAAAAAAAAATGTTTTAAAGCCCCCTGCCCCCACGTGCGAAACTGATGATTGCGGCACTCTTGTTGCATATGGTCACGCATGCCGCAATGGGAGCAATAATTCCACAGCTGTTATTTATGGTTATCTCTAAACTGATGCCCTGCAAAGGGTTTTAAAGCATCGCCTATGGACAATTATGGGTACTGAAGTTTGCCTCTGTTCACGTTTCACGTTTGACATATCTATTTGGTATCTATTTACTTGACGCAACATCATCTTTTATTTTTTACCAAAAGTTGGGTATTATATTGTGTTTGTGTGCTCTAAAAATAATTCGATTTTTTTCCCCTAAAAAATTGGGTTTGATAAACAGTTGCACAAATATTGCGTGACATAATAAATTGCAACCGCCACCATTTTTATTTTCCGGGGTCTCTGCTTTCAGAAACTATAGAGGGGGGGGTACTAATCTTCAAGCCTAAATGTGTGTTTTATCATGTCCATGCAAAATAAATTGCAAGAACACGCTTAAAGTGACATTAAAGGCAAAACTGATTCTCGGCGCGAGAACGAGCGGCGATAACGAGGTAAGTTTTAAATGATTTTAAGCGGTTTTTTTTTTTTACACTTCTTGCCTATATCTACTGCTTGCTAGCAGTAGATATAGGCAAAAACAACCGGAGGGTTTAGAACCCCTTTAAAGTCTATGTTATCCCAAAACCTTATTTTCAGTATGGTTGGTAAATAGTATACTACATCTAATGTATTTTTGTGATTTGCAATCTATCTGGAGATTGTGGCAGTAACAGCGCTTGCTTAAAGCGTACGTCATCCCCAAATCTATTTTTCAGTATGCTTGATCCCATGCCTTGCTGTTTGCTTAAGCAAATAGTTTTTTTGGGACTATTAGAAGTGTCTTAGTCATCACTTCCTTTTGTACGCTGACAACGCTAAGCCACTGCCTTGAAATTAGCAGCAGCGTGGTCAGCCAGCGTAAAAGAATCCTCTGAGATGAGATGACAGGGAATTTTTATATCTAGGTATGTGAGGTAGCCCCCTCTTCAGATACGGCAAACGCTGAGGCAATTACCAGCAGCTCTGGACCTGTCTAACTTTTTACCAAAGTGCCCTGTGGCCTGCCAGGTTGAATCTTTCGGGCAGACCGCACGGACCCCTACGCTGGCTCAGTGCCCAATGGCCACACAACTTCCAGTTCAGCAGGGACCAGGCACAGCACTCCAAAAACTAGGATGAGGACAGCTGTGGCAGATAGCTGCAATGATAGAAGCAAAGTCTAGCAGCAATATAGAGAAGAGTATTGCCAGCAAAAGTAAGTTAGTTTTCCACACAGCAGACCTGAAGAGATGTCTATCCTCCTAGGACACTAGCATAAAACTGAGGTATTTGTCCTGTATTAAAAAGGGGATGTATTGCAGGGACAAGTCTATAATTTTGCCACTTTATAGATCATTGGTTCGACCTCATCTGGAGTACGCGGTCCAGTTCTGGTCACCAGTACTAAGAAAAGATGTCCTTGAGTTGGAAAAAGTCCAGCGGAGGGCAACCAAACTAATTAGGGGTATGGAGGACCAGAGCTACGAGACAAGGCTACTAAATTTAAACATGTTCACATTGGAGGTGAGGAGATTGAGGGGGGGATATGATCTCCATGTACAAAATGTTCAATGGTGGCAGCAACATTAGCGATAAACTGTTTAAAATTAACTCCATTACAAAAACTAGAGGCCACCACCTAAAATTGGTGGAAAAAAAATTCCAGCACAAGGGGCGAAGGGGGTTCTTCACAGTAAGATCAGTTAGGGTCTGGAACTCACTGCCACAGACAGTGATTTCAGCAAAGAATGTGGAATTGTTCAAGAAACTTTTGGACG